CATCCACTCTATTCAGCAGACCTCGCACCTTCGGATCTCCATTTATTTCGGTCTTTCCAAAATTCTCTTAGTGGAGAAAAATTTCAATTCCCTGGAAGACTGCAAAAGGCACCTGGAGGAGTTCTCTGCTCCAAAAGGAAAAAAGTTTTGGGAAGATGAAATTGTAAATTGGCCTGAAAGATGGCAGAAGGCAGTGGAGCAAAATGGTGAATACGTTGTTCAATCAGGTTGTTGGTGAAAATGAGAAACGTGCCTGTAATAGTAGCTTTATGTAAAAACCGAAGGAACCTTTTGGCTAAACCAATAGTACACTACTGAGTTCCAAGTGTGCATCCCTGCTGCCATCTCGTGGGCATTTTGGGGAATAACATCTCAGTGCGGGTCTGCAGAAAACGGGGCAGATTTTAGTAGAATATCAATTACTAGTGATTGCAACATTATTTGGAAATGTAATTCAAAACGTCTAAATGTAAGGACTGTCCAGTCAGCTCTTACATTTACACACAGACCCCCCCCAGCAGGTCTGTTCGGTAACAATAGGAGATTTAACAAACCTCTCTCATTCCGGTTCTGTTTCAGAACCACTAAAACCCACAACAAATAGTAAAAATATTAAAAACATTGCATGCAAAGCAAACTGGATTCAACATGCATAAGTACTATTACCGAATGGACCCCCCCCTCTTCTCCCAGGGTCCCCCTGGACTATATTCGCCTTGCCCACTGCCAGGGAATGATGTCTCTCCATGCCAGAGATTGGTGAAAAGGAAAAGAATTATTTATCCAAAGGTTGTACAGACTTAAAGTAATGACTTAATGTCTTCCTTAAGATCCCAAAGCCCCTGAAAACACCCACAAAAACACACAGTCCTTCCTTCCCCCCTTTGCCCAGTCTAGGGTGCCGCACCTCAGGAAAAGAAATAGAAGTCCGTGGCTCATGCAGCCCTTGGTCCTTCCCAGTAATCTGTGCTTGGTGGGCAGGCTTCCCGCGGTTCCCAGCACCATCAGCTGTATTGCTGGAATCTCCAGTTCTTAATACCAACCCACATGGCACCTTCTCCTGGCCCACCAGCAACAGTCCTTGCTTCCTTGCAAGGATTCTCCCGATTCCTAAGCCGTGGAAAAGGGAGCCCCAAAACTCTGTGGTTCCCCTCCCTCACATGGCTACCGAACCTGGGTTTAAATTCCATTGCCAATCTTCCTCTGCGGCCCCATTTCCAACTCCTCCCACAGTCAGCTACACCTGCCAGCATTCCTGTATTTCTAGCTTTTCAGAGTTGCCATAGGAAGTCTGGGCAGGCATGGCCCAGTGGTGTGGAGCAAATCATCTCCAAGCTCTCACGTAGACGCTGTAACCAGGGGAAACTGCCTCCTAGTTACATCCTGGGTGGAAGTCACTCCCATCTCCCAGGTTCAAAGCATGGCCACAGCTGTTTAGCATATCCATGAAGCCATTTAAGAGTTATAGATATTATAAATGACCATGCCTGGGGTTAGCTGTAAAACTTGCTATGCAGAACAACTCTCAATTCAGTTCAGACTTGTGGGGGTGAGGACATCCTGTATTTCTAATATTTCCTGGACACCCTGAGTTCTGGACCCCATGCCAAATCCCTTTTTGGGCCCTGGGCCTTGGCTACACCCTGTCACAATTGCATCGCACAGAAAAAAAAACAAAGCAAGCTTTCCAGCAAGGCATTGGTGGGATACGTTTTCCATCTGTCAGTCTCTGCTGCCATCTCGTGGCCATTTTGGGGAATGACGCCTCAGTGCAGGTCAGCAGGAAAAGGGGTTGATTCTAGTGGCAATATCGTGGGCTTTTCATAGTAGTGCAATTTAGAAGCGCAGTTGAGGACGCCCAAACGTCAGGATCGTACAGTTACTTTGCAACTGGTCTCTAGATATCGGCCAAGGGAGGAATAAGCATGTTTTATGTGACGTTTCTTGGAACTGGTTTTGTAGCATAATAGAGGCAGGTTTTTACAAGTGCCAAGTTTGCTTGAAAATCGTTTGTAAGTAGCTCTTTCCGTTTCAGCTTCCTTAAATAACACAGAGGTCAAATGTATTTGAAATTCTCCACCAAGAGGTAAAAAAAAACGGTAACGCAGAATACAAGCACTCTCATTTCATGTCCGTGCCCCTCAGGACATGTCTGTGGGCTCATTTCCTCCGCTGCGCCTGGACTTCGTTTACTATTTCAGGTTCCTGTCACGGGTTCAAAATTTGTGCATTTCCAGCTTCTGTTTCTAAGCCGTGCATTGAAGCATGAAGATTTCTTTCCAAGTTTTGGTACAGAGCATCTTTATCATCAGTCATGTCGAGTTATTTTGGTTTTATTTATTTATTTAATTTTTACTGTTATTTAAGTGTTTTTTACTGATTATGCTGTTTTCCCAATTTTTTCCCCTTTACCCCTCCTCCGCCCTGTACTCCCAACTCTCCAGCTTCCCTCCCCTTAGAGTTCATGTCCATGGGTTGTACAGATATGTGCTCAAGTTCTGTTTCCTATACTATTTTTCATCTCTATTTATTTTATGTCTACGAATTATGCTTCTTCTTCCTTGTACCTGTTCCTCCCTATTCCTCTCTTCCCCTTTGCCACTGAAATTCCTCCATATGATGCCCATTTCTCTGATTCTGTTCCTGTTCTAGTCATTTGCTTAGTTCTTGTTTTCATTGTTTTTCTTTTTTTAGGTTCGTTTGTTGATAGTTGTGAGTTTGTTTTCATTTTACTGTTCATAGTTTTGGATCTTCTTCAGTTTCTTAGATAAGTCCCTTTAACATTTCATACAATAAGGGCTTGGTGACTCCTTTAACATGACCTTATCTGAGAAGCACTTTATCTGCCCTTCCATTCTAAATGATAGCTTTGCTGGACAGAATCATCTTGGATGTAGGTACTTGCCTTTCATGACTTGGAATATGTCTTTCCATCCCCTTCTTGCCTGCAAGGTTTCTTTTGAGAAATCAGCTGATAGCCTTATGGGAACTCCTTTGTAGGTAACTCTCTCCTTTTCTCTTTCTGCTTTTAAGATTCTCTCTTTATGTTTAATCTTGGGTAATGTAATTATGATGTGCCTTGGTGTGTTCCTCTTTGGGACTCTCTGGGCTTCCTGGAAGTCTATTTCATTTGCCAGATTGGGGAAGTTTTCCTTCATTATTTGTTGAAATAAGTTCTCAACTTCTCACTCTCATTCTTCTCCTTCTGGCACCGCTACAATTTGGATACTGGAACATTTAAAGTTGCCCCAAAGGTTCCTAAGCTTCTCCTCATTTTCTTGAGTTCTTATTTCTTCATTATGTTCTGGTTGGATGTGTATTTCTTCCTCTTGATCCAAATAGTTGATTTGAGTCCTGATTTCCTTCCTTTCACTGTTGGTTCCCTGCATATTTTGCTTTATTTCACTTTGGGTAGTCTTCAAGTGTTCTTTCATTTTGCAACAAGCCCCAATCAGCTCTGCGAGCATTTTGATTACCAAGGCTTTGAACTCTCCATCAGATAGGTTGGCTATCTCATCCCTTAGCTCTTTTTCTAGAGTTTTGTTCTATTCTCCCCTTTGGGCCATATTTCTTTGTTTCAGCGCACCAGTCTGGTTGACTGTCTCTTTAATTCCTTGGTTGTCAGAGTTCCATGCAGTTTGATTTTCTGGCATTTCTGGTTGTTTATTGATTTTACATTGGTTGTTATCCTCCTTTTGGTTGTGCGAGAAAGTGAAGAGCTTCTAGCTACGCCTCCATCTTGGCTGGAAGCTAGTTTTGTTTTTACGACTAGTGCGCCGGGAGCACTTCTGCACACATTTGTCGGTACTCCATTGCTGGGAACACACCGCCCCCAAATGAGCAGCTCAGAGACAACAACCATCACCGTTGTACTTCTACCGTTGGTGACAGGCTCCCCTGGGGTCCCCTCACGTGTCGCAATCACCTGGGTGGGGGCCGGCAGGGCCGAGGTGGCGTCCCTCACATGCTGGCCCTCAGGGGAACGTCGGCTGGACCTCCGTGTGTCCCTCCCTCACACGCCAGCTGGGCTCCGAGGAAGTGAGGAGCAGGCACTCTTCCCTGGCTGTGAGCCCGCCGTCATTTGACCCCCCTCGCCCTCTTCTATCTCGAGTGATTTTCCTGTCGATTAAGAAGGAAGTAACGTTCGAGCTGAGGTTCGCAGGAGGCGGAATAACGACAGACCAGGGAGGCCGGTAAGAAACACACACGGCGCTGAGAGGAGGAAGAAGGGAAACTGGGGCGTTTGAGGAAGAGCCGGACTCCAGCGCGGATGGAGCGTGAGGAGGCCCCGAGTCACGGGCGACGCTGGGCGGGGCCAGGAGGCGGTGTGACGCTGGGCGGGGTCAGGAGGCAGTAGGCGGGGTCACGCTAGACGGGGAGACGCTGGGCGGGGCCAGGAGGCGGTGGGCGGGGTGACGCTGGGCGGGGCCAGGAGGCGGTGGGCGGGGTGACGCTGGGCGGGGTCAGGAGGCAGTGGGCGGGGTCACACTAGACGGGGAGACGCTGGGCGGGGCCAGGAGGCGGTGGGCGGGGTCAGGAGGCAGTGGGCCCTCCACGCCCTGCAGGCAGCAGCATTCCCTGCGTGTCGTCTTCCCTTCGTTCGGTCCTGGGAAAGCCTGCTTCCAACGCTTAGTGCTTGGGGCCGAACAAGCTCGTTGGGACTTGAATAAAACAGTCACATGTAGGACCACAGAAGAATGAAAATGACAGAAACAGGAGACGCACACATAGTTATCAGTACGAGACTGAAGAAGAAAGAAGGAGATGGAGAAAGAAACAGATTTGTTGGGAACATGAACACATACAGTGTCCTTGGGTGGTGGCGATTTTACAGAAAATCCTACAGGAACACGTAAACACAACTGCAACGAGCTCGGATGTAGCTATTAGAGCAATGTGTTTGTAAGAAGCAGGAAGACACAGACTAGACTGTTAACCACAGTGCCTTTGAAGAGGAGGGTGGTTCTGAGGACGGCGAGGGCTGTGAGGTTCACCCAGAGGTGACAGTGAGGGACCAAGGACTCCCAGAGGACCCTTCTCTTCTTTTTTTTTTTTTAAGATTTTATTCATTTATTTTTAGAGAGGGAAGGGAGGAAGAAAGAGAGAGAGAGAAACATCAATGTGCGGTTCCTGGGGGTCATGGCCTGCAACCCAGGCATGAGCCCTGACTGGGAATCGAACCTGCGACACTTTGGTTCGTAGCCCGCGCTCAATCCACTGAGCTACGCCAGCCAGAGCTTCACCCTTCTCTTCTTACTCATGGAAGCATCTCAAGCAATCCCTGCCTTGGAGGCTCTTCATCCAGGAATTAAGTAACCGACATGGAGACCAGATAGAAAACCCAGATGGGCAAGTCTCAGCCGAGGAAGCTCTGGTGTGAACTTTGTTTTCGGGTATTTGTGAGCAAAACTGCAGTGCCCTGGCCACCCTCAGCCCCGTCTCTGTCTAACCAGAGGAAAGGAGGGTGCGTGGCATTCTTGGAACCATTCTCAAAGTTTGAATGGGGAGGATGAGAATTCTGACATCTGCCAGAAAAGTGGACGCTACAATCTGGAAAGGGAGAGCTGCATTGATTTTTCATATTTTAATACTTTTTTTTCTGATTTACTCTATTATAATAGTCATATGTGCTTATTTTTAAGAAGTACAGCAGAAGGGAGAAAATAAAAACTCCATAATCCTGTTACCCAGAGCAAGAACATTCTGGTTTTTTTAAAAGGCAAAGAATGAGCCCTGGCTGGGGTGGCTCAGTGGACTGAGTGCTGGCCTGTGAACCACAGGGTCGCCAGTTCAATTCCCAGTCAGGGCACATGCTTGGGTTGTGGGCCAGGTCCCCAGTAGGGGGCCACCTAAGAGGCAACCACACAGTGATGTTTCTCTCTGTGTCTTTCTCCCTCTCTTCTCCTCTCTCTAAAAATAAATAAACAGGCAAAGAAAGGCACATTGCTGCTATGAGGGTGAGTTGCTCTGCTCTGCCCTTGCCACCCGGGGTTCCCCAGGGCTCTGCCACCTGCTACTGGCAGGGACTTGAAGATCGCCGGATGTCTCTCCTGGGGCCCTGTTTCTGTGTTGGTACGAGCTGGTTTCTCTAGGCTCTGACTCAAGGGGAGAGCAGTAAGTATCGAGTGAACTCACTGGGAGGTCCTTCCTGGAGGTCCTTCCTGTCTCTTACATCGTGGGGTTCTGTGAGTCAAGGTTCACCCAGACTCTCTGATTCTCCGTACGGTTCCAAACCTCACCCACAGGTTCTGCCCCGAACGTCTGGAAGAAAGTATGTCCACAGAGAGGAAAGGAGACTCTTTCAGCAGGTCTTTCCCCCACTTCCACCTTCAGGGAAGGGAAGTCAGTCCTGTTTCCCAATCCTTCGAAGAGAAATGATGAGGGACCCTCCGGAAAAGGAGGAAATGGTGGTGGAGGGGGAGCGGTGACTAGGCACAAGGCCAGAGTGGCTCACCCTGAGGGAGGGCGTGCATCCCCAAGGTGGATACAAGGCTCAGAAGTTTCCGGTCCCTTGAGTGGAACCCGTTCCGTACACAGCAAAACCTCGGAGGGGGTGGCGGTGGGGGGTGCTGTGGGAGGCTGGGCCCGGGTCAAGCTTGGCAGAAAGGCGTCGGAGCCACCTGCCTGGAAGACACCCTACCCTGCAGCGCGGACCGTGGACACATCAGCAACCACAGGGCTCCCTGAACCCGAGCGCTGTGCACTGTTTCAGAGCTTCACAGAGCCCCTGGGGAGAGCCTACCAGGACTGAGACGGACTTTCAACTTCAATTTGATTTGGAAAAGTGAAAAAACGGGACCTTTCCTACCTCCAAAGGAAATGGAGTGAAAACTCCAGAGCCTTCGGTGCGGTGGTGTCCGAGCTGGAAGCTACAGAACGGCGTGCGCGCGGCAGGAAGGCGGCCCTGGCGGCTCCTGCGAACAGAGGGGCGTTTCACTGCCGTGACGGTACTGGGGGAGGATGCGACGGTCCTCCCGGGGCGCCCCGGTACCAGGTGGGGCCGCGGTCCGCGCCCAGCAGCTGCCGGTGGAGGCGGGCCTGGTGCAGTCACTGGGTTAAAACCTGGCGCCGCTCCCTGGAGAACAGGGTGGTCGCTGCAAGGCGCCGGGGCTGGAGGAAGAGGAACGGAGGGGGTGCGGCGCCGCAGCGTGGGTCAGAAGCCGGGCCTGCGCGGAGTAAGCCCACGCGCTCAGGGCCCTGCAGCCCCGGGTGCGGGCAGACGCCAGGGGCCGTGGGGAGTCCGAGCCCCGCGAGGGGGGACGAAGGATGCGCGCTCCCGCCCCGCCCCCCGGGCGCGCCTGCGCACTGAGCCGCCGGCTCCCGGAAGCCGCGCGCCGCTCGCGCCACGTAGGTCCCGGCGCAGCCGCCGGGTGTTGCCTCCGAGGACCAGCCATGGGCAGCGCAGCCCCGCACTCCGCCTCGTGGCTGCTGCTGCCGCTCCTGCTGCTCCTGCTGCGGGCCGAGCGGCTGCGGGGCGCCGAGCTCACCTTCGAGCTGCCGGACAGCGCCAAGCAGTGCTTCCACGAGGACGTGGAGCAGGGCGTCAGGTTCTCTCTGGACTACCAGGTGGGGTCCCGCCCCGCCCCTTCCAGTGTCGCCCGGCACCTGGGGGGTTCCCTGGATGGGGATGCCTGGGCCGGTCCAGCACCCCCGGGAGCTGGCCGGGATGCATCCTGCAGGCCCGAGGACTCTTGAGGCGTGCCACCTCTGGTTGGCCGGACGTGGGTTCTGTCCCAAGCATCTTGGACCTCTGTCCCCATGTGTACTGAAAATGGCAGCGAGAGGAAGTGGGTTTGTGGTTGGATTTTCTCTTCCGTCCCTCCTTTAAAGTCGTTGCTGCGGCGAGCGCAGAAGGGATGAGAAAGGCGCTTTGGACAAGGGGTCTCAGCGCAGCCTTGGAGCCCTGGCAGGATTTACAGGGAGCCGTGCTGTGGTGGCGGGACGCACGGAGGCTGCCATATGGCTCAGTGAAGCTCCCTGCGCCTGCACCTCGGGCTCTTTGGAGAGGCCTCGGGCTCACAGTTTTGGGGAACAGGTCCTGCACCTAAGGGTTGGTGAGCAGAGCTAGGCTTGGGGGAAGGGGAACGTACCCAGAAAGCGGTCTGCAGCCGGACACTGCTGGCTATCTGGCACCCCAGAGATGAGGTGGCACCGGCAGCAGTGGGGCTGGCCATGGTGGGCCCTCTGTGGCTAGGGAGCCTTGTGCGTGTGTGGTGGTCTCCGAGTCCCTAATTCGCCCACTTTCACAGCTCTGTGGACAGTGCACATACTGCGGCTGGTTAACAGGGGGCAGCCTAGGTGCAGTCACCAAACAGTGGTCATTCTGAGGCTGGAGAGGCTGGAGAGGCCGGAGAGGCCATCTGGCCACTGCTAGATTAGGGATCCCTGTGCAGGGGTGTGCAGTGCGGGTTTATACACTTCCAGCAGCAGGAAGCTCAGTGCTGATAAAGCAGATCTCCCATCTAGACGGGAAATTCTAAAGTTCTGAAGCAGGTGGAGGCAGTTTATGGTGTCCTCTGAGGGGTCTTGGGTGCGGCCACTGACCACCGGCGTGGGTCCTAACTTTCTTACATTGGCGAAGTGAAGAGAATGATCCCCAGGGCTCTCCCACCTCTGACGGCTGCTGATTCTCTGAATGCTCAGCCTGCATCTGCCCCTCCGTTCGTTCCGGTAGGTGCTGACGTTCACGTCAGCCAGACCTGCTCAGCAGCCGACTTCACTGTGGGCCTCAGCTCCCTGCTGTGTGAAGTGGGAAGGGTGAGGTTCCCTGCCCTCCTGCCAAACAGAGCCTCAGGGGCCGGGCAGGCCGAGACTCAGATCCCAGCCTTGTCCTTTGCAAGCAGGGGGACCGTGGCCAGCTCACTGACCTTCCTCAGCCTCGGCGTCGTCCCCCATGATGTGGGGGTGCCGCAGCAGCTGCTTTAGGAGAACTGGAACGTGTCTGCAGCCGGGCCGCCGGGCCTGGCTGCTGGCATTGGGTGCGGGTGCCCTCTGGTGACGGCGGGCCGTGGGTGTCTCTGTGTTGTCAGGTCATCAGTGGAGGCCACTACGACGTCGACTGCTACGTGCAGGATCCCCTGGGAAACACCATCTACAAGGAGACCAAGAAGCAGTATGACAGCTTCACGTACCAGGCCCAGGTCAAGGGCGTGTATCAGTTTTGCTTCAGTAACGAGTTTTCCACCTTCTCTCACAAGACCGTCTATTTTGACTTTCAAGTGGGCGACGAGCCCCCCATTCTCCCGGAAATGGGGAACAGGGTCACAGCGCTCACCCAGGTGAGTGGACACACACAGGGTCGGTCCTGGCGGAACCCCTCGGGCTGTCCCCCCGTCTCCTGTCCCTGTCTCGGCTAGCGAGCAGAGTCGCCACCCACCCAGCTCCCAGTCCGTGGTCTGGTGGCTCTGCCCTCCTTTCTGCACCCGGTCCGAGAGGACGCTGTGCCCTCCTGGTCTGCCCCTCCACTCTCTGACCGGCGCCCTGCCGGGCTTCCTGCTGGTGTCCTCGTGTTCCCATTCGGTCCTCCTCTCCACGCCGCCTTCCGAGCGCCCACGGCCGGAGCCTCTCTGCTTCTCTGACGTGTCTGCACTGGGGAGACCAGAGTCCACTCCGTGTGGTGTGTCGGTTAGGGTGACACGTGAACCCCGAATATCAATGGCTTAACACAGTGGATTTTTTCTTAGTATTCAGGGGAGTGGGGTAAGGGGCGCAGAGCTTTGCTCCGTGCAATGGCTCAGGAGTCTAGGCTCTCTCTCCTGTCCTCCTTCTGCTGTCCCTTAGGGCTTCTGAGCCCTCTGCCTCTGGCTGCCAGCGGGGGTAGGGGGGCAACCAGAAAGTTGCATCTGCCTCTTCAAAGCCCCGGCCCAGAAGCAGCACACACGTCACTCAGATCCGTGGTTGAGAAAGGGCCCGTGGCCCGTCTCGGAGAAAGGAGGGCGGGCAGCACAGTCCCGACTGGGCTGTCGGCTCCTGGGAACAGCTGCACACTCGGAGAGACAGTGGACACTTCCAGGGACCAGATGGTCATCTCTGCCACCTGCGGCTCTCCAGGCTGACTGTAATCTGACCCGGCCTCCTCTGTCCGGCTCCCCTGCTGCTAGTGCAGCTCCTCCCTCCTCCCCGTGCAGACTCTGTGCTGTTCCCCTGCAGCCCCGGTACCCGCACACCACACGGGCGTGACTTGGGAAAGGAGCTCATCGGGTAGTCAGGTGGCTGCATGACAGGGCCCGGGGAGACCTGCAAGACAGGAATGACCATCTGTGGCTGCAGCTGCTCCAGAACTAAAGCCCGATGACCTCCTACGCCACCCTCCCTGGCGGCCACATGCTCTGTTCCCCGGGAGCGTGGCTGTGGGCTCACACGCGGTCTTCCGCCTTCCCTAGGCAGGCGGGTCCGTTGCGGAACCACTCTTTACCATGGCTCTCTAATTAAGTTAAACATGCACCCCCTTGCGGGCTCTGCAGCAGCATCTGCAGTGCTCTATAGTGGCCGCTGGGCTCAGGCGGCTCTCAGCCGTGCACAGGAGGTTCTGCCCGGGATGTGCTGGCGTCTTTCGCAACCTGTGCCGTTGAGAGTCCGATGTTTCATGGAGGAAATGGCGTCCTCAAGGAAGATCTCGTGAGCACGCAGGGGCAGCGCAGGAAGGGCTTTCCTCTCTGACCAGTGGGAAACCGATTTGTGGGGAGAAGGCCAAATGGACGAACGCAGTAGAGAAATTCCTTCCTGGAGGCGTAGAATGAGCGTCCGAGTCTGTTGCAGGTGTGATTCGCACATCCTCCTGCGCAGCCTCAACATATCTGTGCATGCATGCATGGGTGTGTGTACACACACACACACAGAGTGCCGTCTCCACCCAGCCCGCTCATTTCAAGGACAGCCTGTGCTGTCACCGAGCCCTGTGACCGCAGCGCCCTGAATCCCAGACGTGCTCTCCTTCTCCCCGACTTGGCGGCCCTCTCCGTCAAGGCCCTCGTCTCTCCGTCCCCGTGGAGGGGCGGCAGCCGAGCGGGCTCCCTGCCTCCAGACCAGTTCCGGCCTGTCTCAGTGTTACAGCTGCCAGGGGTCTCTCTGGAAGCGGGGTCTCATCCTGCTCTTCTGCTCACGGAGCTTCGCCGTGGAGCCTTGATCCTCTGGGCTGTCCCTGTGAGCTCCCACCCGCCCACGTCTCCTCCCCCAGACCCCACTCAGCCTGGGCCCTGCAGGTGTTCTCTGCCCAGGCTCCTGTGCCTCCTGCTCCCGGAACCCCTGTCCTCCAGCTCCGCCTGCCCACCTACGAAGGCTCAGGTGGTCACTCCTATGCCTGCCCTCCTCTGTCTCCGGTGGCAGGGTTGGCGGCTTTCCTGGGTGTCCCCCCGAACTCTGTGCCCCCCTGTCCCTGGCTCTTTGCATGTGACATTGATTATGTTCACCTTAACATTGTGAACTTTTGAGACCCAGGACGGTGTCTGGTGCCGATGCATCCCACAGTTCCTCGGGCCCAGAAAAATGCCCGGGTGACAAGCAGACTCTTAATAAGTGTGCATCTGAACGAGTGGCTCCGTGGAAGGAATCGGCGGGAAGACGCCCAGCAGGACGTGGGATTCTTACAGTCTTATCTTCCCAGGTGTCTCTCCTGAGGCCCCAGCCCCACCTTCAGTGACGGTGGCCCTCCAGGGGTCACCAGGCTGACATCGATAGAGACCTTGCTTCTACCTGTGTCACAGTCACGGGCAGTGACAGGAGGGAGCACTGGGGAGGCTTCTGGAAACGCCCTGTCTTGAGGGCAGACTCACACAAGTTTAAACACAAGTTTATGTGACCTCTTTCTTGATTCCTTCCTGGTTCGGTCCCCTCTTCCCTCTCCGGGACGGTGGACACGCCTATGTGAGCTCTGGAAGTGTTCAGCAGGAGAACACGGGAGTGCTTGAAAACAGAGGCTCGGGACTCAAAAGTCCTGAGTTCAGATCCAGCCCCGGCCACGTACTGTGTGACTCGGGGAAAATCACTTCGCCTCTCTGAGCCTCAGTTGGGCTCACAGGGGCGAAGTAAAGCCTGCAGCCTTCCGCAGATGTCACCTCAGATGCTCATGACGACACTTGCTGTGTGCCCGGCCCCGCCACCTGCCCGCCCCGGTCCTTCCCAGGGTCAGCAGCGTGCCTACCCTTCTCTTCCCGCTCAGATGGAGTCTGCCTGTGTGACCATCCACGAGGCCCTGAAGACGGTGATCGAGTCCCAGACGCACTACCGGCTCCGGGAAGCCCAGGACCGGGCCCGCGCTGAGGACCTGAACAGCCGGGTGTCCTACTGGTCCGTCGGCGAGACCATCGCCCTGTTCGTGGTCAGCGTCAGCCAGGTGCTGCTGCTGAAAAGCTTCTTCACGGAGAAGCGGCCGGCCGGCAGGGCAGTCCACTCCTAGCGGGGGTGTCCCCTGCCGGGGCTCCTCACGACCAAGGCCACGGCCGCCCGAGGGCGGTGAGTGCAGCCCCAGGCGAGGCAGACGTGCGCTCACCTCTCCTTCCACTCAGGTGCTTCACCCTCGTCCCTCAGTTGCAGAGTCCACGGCGCGCAGCGGTTGGAAGGTGTCTCACCGCGGTGCTGAGTGAAGTTCACAGTCAGGACACGGACAGGCTGCTGGGCGGGTGGGGCACGGCCTCCAGTGCCTCGACTGCCGGGGGCACCTCCAGCCGCTCCCTCTGCTCCGCGGCGCCGGGTCTCACCTGGCCTGTGTCCTGTGCGGTGTGCAGAGGAGGGGGGCCTGGGCCGGCCGTGCCTCCCACGGAGCTCTCTGTCCTGGGAAGCCAGGCCCCAAGGCCGCTCCGCAGAAACTCACACCCCACGCAGCACGGCCACCAGCTCTGCCTGCAGGGACGGAGGGGTGACGGGGCACCCCGGGTCAGCTGTGTGTCTCGTCTCGGGGGTGGCAGCACCCTGGCTAATAAAGACTCTGCAGGAGTCCCTGGGGACGTGTGCTTGTTTTGCTTCGCCCGAAGGGAGCTGGTCGCCTGGTGGGGAGTGTGGCTGCGAGTCGGTTGTCCCGGAGCAGGGGTGCCGTGGATGACACACGCAGGACGCTGTGCGTGGACGCGGGGAGGGGGGCAGATCGCCCTCTTCCTGGTTGAACAAAAGCAGTGAAGTGGGCAGATGGTCACTCTGTGGCCTTGGACCCGGGTCTCACAGCCAACCGCCCGGTCGTCGTTTCATGCGAACGTAGGGAGGGGCTGAGGGCGGCCCGAGGGAAGACTGAGCCAGAGCGAGTGGCTGGGCCGAGAGCCATGTCCACGGCAGCCGCCACGGTGTCCTTAAAACCTCGGTCTGACCGCGTGGCTCCCGGTCAGAACCCTCCCCGGCTCTGCGTGCTTCTCCATGCTCTCGGCTGAGCCCTCACGGTGGGCCTCCCGCGGCCGCCTCACCCCCACCCTGCTGCCCTCCCCCTCGGCACCCGTGTCCCCCGTCTCCCGGCGGTGGGGCCAGGCCTTGCTTCTGCCCGGGGCCTTTGCATATGCGTTTCCTCTCCCTGTCTGCGAGACCCGTCCTGGCCCACCGGCCCCACCAGACGCCTGCGATCGCTGAGGTCTCCCCTAACTGCTCTGTTCAAGTGGCCACGGAGAGCGATCAGAGCACATTCAGGCCGTTATTTCAACAGAATCTCCCTCCCAGCCATTTTCCAAGGGCTAGTATTCTCCTTACGGGTGTGGACACAAGGGTGCAGTGGTTTGTGGTGCTCGGGGCACACTGACTTCTGAGAGACCCGGCTGCCGTGCGGGGCCAGCCGGTCCCCATGACCACGGAGCTGTGACAAGGTGTCTCCTTCCAGCCAGGGACCCGGCTGCCCTTTCTCGGGTTGAGCTCTCCCCTGGGACACCAGTGGGCGGCGTCTGAACAAAGGCCGTCGGGTCTGGTACGGACGACGTTTTATGCTGGGCTTGCACCCGACACGGCACATGAAGTCTGGACGTTTAACTTCCTCACTCTCCAAGTCCCAGGTCCATCCCCTTTCGGCCGTGGGGAAAACGTTGCCAAGACGATGTCCCCAGGCCGCTCTGTCCCCACTCTGCACCGGGACGCGCGTGCCTCTGACCCTCACACTCCCTGGTGTGCCCACACAGCCGTGCTCTAGATTGTGGGGGCGTCCCCGCCCCTGCAGAGCACGCACCAGGCACACAGAGGTCAGGGCTATACCTGCAGTGGATCTACAAGAAAGCCCGTCCCCTGCGGCGTGGCTTCAGGCACAACTGTAGGAATGCGGAGGGAAGTGTCTCGGAGGGACTCAACTAACAGAGCTGAATGTGCAGGTCAGGTTTGGGAGAACTTGTTTTTCCAGCTCTGGTGGTGGAACAGGCTGTGGTCAGCCCCGCCCTGTCTGCCTGCCTGCCTGCCTGCCTGCCGTGGAGATGGCAGTTGGGACTTTTGGGTTATGTGGAAAGGGATCACCTACTTATTGTGGCTCTCTGGACATCACACTCCTACTACCCTTGGCACTAGCACGGCATCGTGATTCTGGATTCCGGCTCAGCTGGGTGCACTTTTCCCTGGCCGGCTGGTGTTTCTCGGCCCCGTATTTGGCTCCAGGGAAAAGAGGCTTCCACCCTGGCTGGTGTAGCTCAGTGGATTGAGCGCAGGCTGCGAACCAAAGTGTCGCAGGTTCGATTCCCAGTAAGGGCACATGCCTGGGTTGTGGGCCACGGTCCCCAGCAACAGCACATTGATGTTTCTTTCTCTCTCTCTTTCTCCCTCCCTTCCCTCTCTAATAAATAAATAAATAAAATGTTTAAAAAAAAAAAGAAAAGAGGCTTCCAGTGGGATTTTCCGTCACATCGTGGAGAAGTCAGCCAAGAACGGGTTAAGACTCGACATTACTTGTGGGTCTGTTTTCGTGGGAAGCCGTCACCACCCAGTGACTGGGTCAGTGCAGACTCCCGGGACCCGGGCCTCACATGCGGTCGTGTGGAAGAGCACCCACCGTGAGAGTCGGGTCATAGGAGAGGGCCCCCGGACCACCGTGTCACATTCGCAAATGAAGTGACACAGAGCACCGCTCTGGTGGCGTTTGCAGTGGGGTTGGCTTGGAAGCCAGTGGGGTGAGTCTCGCACGCCCACCTGAGCTGCCGGAACTTGGGGGACGGTCACCTCCTCAGCCGTCGCGCTGTCACGTGATCGCTGTACACTGGAAGCAGCCTCACAGACACACGAGACTGTGGACTCCTACTAGAAATCATAGCGTAACAGTCACTGTTCCACAGCAACGATCCTGGGCTGGGGCTGAGACACGAGGCCCCGCCCCCCGTCTGAACAAACCCGCTTCCTGTAACAGCAGCTCCTGCCTCCCCGGGACTGGCTGTCAAAGAGGCCGGCGGCTGGACCAGCCTTCGCTTGTGAGAACGTCCACCAACTCCGTCAGCCAAGAGAAACAAAAACCTCAGAGGGTGCCAAGTGCAACTCGGAGAGTTCCCAGAGGCTGACCTCACTGAGTGCCCCGGGTGGCTGCCGCAGGTGGGGAGCCGGCCAGGTGATCTGGAGCAGAGGGCAGAGGTGAGCCCGGTACAGGCTCGATGTCCAGCAGGAAGCAGGGGAGGCCCGGGTTGCGTGGGCTGCGGAAGCCACAAGCAGGGAGCTTGGGTTTTCTCCTCCCGGCCGAGATGAGTGGACAAGGGGGTGACATGAGAGCCTCCCACTCCTGGTGGAGCAGCCCCAGTGGGGCAGGGGAGAGCGGGCAGTGGGGCAGACGGGGCACACGGGTGACGGGGGAGGGGAAGCCCAAAGCAAGGGAGGTGCCTTTGTGATTGGCTCCAGCGAAAAACGAGATGAAGACGCCCCACCCGGCCCTGTGGAGCGGGAGGAGACGCTGAGGGCCCCACAGCTGCTCCGCTGGCCCCCCAGTCGCTACCACGTGGTGGGGGCGCTGCAGCCCTCGCTGGGTAGGCCGCGCTTGGCATCCACGTCCATCGGCTGATGTGGAAGCAGCCGAGGAGAACCCCTCTGGGGAGTGCGGGGTCTAAACCCCAGGCTGGGCTCCCCTGCCTGCAGCGCCCCCTGCAGCCGGAGAGTACAGACAGCATCGGGCTGGGAAAACTGCCGGGGTTCCCTCTGCCTGAGGCCGACGGCTGCAGACACAGTGAGCAGAGACACCACGTGCTGCTTAAAGGGCCCACGCATACCCTTTCAAATGCAGCCACGTACCCTGGGCTCCGGCAAAGCGGAGGAGGGCAGCGTGCACTAGGAGGAGGGCAGCGTGGACGCTTGAGGAGAGACTGGGGACAGTGGCTTGGGGGTGGGGGGGAACTGAGACAGCAGCCGCCAGGATCCCCGTGCTGAGTCGCCACCCGTTTTCCCTTCTTCTTTCCTCTTTTTGTTTTAAATCTTGCCTTCTCACTTGCTACAGCCATCCTGCTCAGGCGACCGCTCCCCTCTGAGTGGCTTTAGCCTGAGGGAAGCACTAGCCCCACCCCCAGGAGGGACTCCGCCCATCGCGTGTGGCTGGAGCCTGACTGCGGAGGGCGGAGCGACTAGATGGACAACTGGAGGGTCCGCCCCAGACGGCAGGTCCCTGGACATCTAGGACCGGCTGCCTAAGGACATAGGGGCTCACCATCTGACGTCACCATCCGCGGTTCCAGAAAGAAGAAACAGTGGTAAATACTAGATGCTACCGAGGCGAAATCCACCATGGTCTTCTCCACAATCTATGATGTTTTCTTTCCCGCACAGTTTAACATTCATTTGCTATCCTTCAAGTTTGTGCATATTCAGTCCCTGGATTTTATATTGTAATTTATTTCAATTCTCATATTTTGCTCCTCCCTTCACTTACGCCATTTTACCTCCTCCTTTCCTCCCATTATTTTTGTTTTAAATTTGTTTTCTCACTTGTTACGATTTGTTTACATTCTTCACTCTTAAAAGTTTCCCCTGTTCAGCCTATAAAAACCATTTTGTTTTTGTCAATGGTCATCTCACATTCTTTTTGTCACTCTTATAATACCTGTGTTCTCTCGTCATCTTTAGTAATCTTTGTTTTAGCAAACAAAATATCAGAAACAGAAATTAGGGGGAAAATTTCATGTGCTATAGCAACAAGGAAAATAAAGTACCTAGGAATAAACCTAACCAAGGATGGAAAGGACCTGTACTCAGAAAACTGCACAACCCTGAAGAAAGAAACTAAGGAAGACACAAACAAATGGAAACATATACTGTGTTCATGGATTGGAAGAATTAACATCATCAAGATGTCTGTGCTACCCAAAGCAATTTATAGATTCAATGCAATCCCTATTAAAATACCAATGACACATTTCATAGATATAGAACAAACATTTCAAAAATTTACATGGAACTATAAATGACCCTGAATAGCCACAGCAATTTTGAGGAAGATCAACAAAGTAGGAGGGATCACAATACTTGATATCAGACTATACTACAAGGCCACAGTAATCAAAACAGTCTGGTACTGGCATAAGAACAGACACATAGAACAGAATAGAGAGCCCAGAAATAAACCCAAGTCTCTATGGTCAATTAATATTCGACAAAGGGGACAGCAGCATAAAATGGAGTGAAAATAGCCTCCTCAACAAATGGTGTGGGGAGATCCGAACAGGTACATGCTAAAAAATGAAACTTGACTTCCAACTGACACCATACACAAAAATACTCTCCATATGGATAAAGGCTTAAATAAGTCACAACACCATAAAAGTCCTAGAGGAGAATATAGGCAGGAAAATCTCAGATATCCCACGCAGCAATATTTTCACCGATGCATCCCCTAGAGCAAGGGATATAAAGGAAAGAATAAACAAATGGGATCTCATCAAAATAAAGTGCTTCTGCACGGCTAAAGAAAACATCAGCAAAATGAAAAGGGAACCAACCATATGGGAAAATATATTTGCCAATGATACCTCAGACAAGGCTTTGATCTCCCAAATATATAAAGAACTCACACGACCCCACACCAAGAAAACAATCCAAGTTAAAAATGGGCAAAGGGCCTGAACAGATACTTCTCCAAGGAGGATGTCCGGAGGGCCCATAGACAGATGAGAAAATGCTCAACATCACCAGACATCAGAGAGATGCACATTGAAACCACAATAAGATACCACTTCACACGGGTCAGAATGGCCATCATAAACAAATCAACAACCCCTGGCTGGTGTAGCTCAGTGGATTGAGCGTGGGCTGCAAACCAGGCATTTCAGGTTCGATTCCCAGTCAGGGTACATGCCTGGGTTGCAGGCCATGACCCCCAGCAACCGCACACTGATGTTTCTCTCTCTCTCTCTCTCTCTCTCCCTCCCTCCCTTCCCTCTCTAAAAATAAATAAATAAAATCTTAAAAAAAAACAAATCAGCAAACAACAAGTGCTAGTGAGAAGGGAAGGGAACCCCAGGGCACCGTTGGGGAATGCAGCCTCATGCAGCCTGGGGCAGCTCCTCTGACCACTTTTGTCATTCAAGACATTCATGCATCAGGAGCGCCCACAGCCTAAATCCTAAGATAAAACCCAGCTGATAGCATCTTCTTAGGAATTTGCATAAAAATATAAAGCCAAGTCAAGAATAGCACGTGTGAGTTATTCTGACCCAGCTCTGCATCAGTCCGCAGGTAGGAAACATTGGTTTGGCTGATTCTAGTGCAGCCTTCCAACTCTGCAGAGGGACCTCCTAGTCCACTCTCATCTTTTTAAAATTAATGTGGCTTTATTAATATTAAAAAATAGTCTTTAAGGCATTACTGAAGATGAAGACGGATACAAAGAGATATTAGCTGCATGCAAAATTTAAAATTGTAAAGTTTCCTTCAAAACATATAACTGAATCTTGTACCACGTGAGTGGAAACTGGGAAGTTTATCATCACAGCAGGAGATGTTAACATCTTTTTCTCAGTAACTGGCAGATTGAGAAGAAAAACCAGTAAACAGGTAAAAGATCTGAACCACACAGGTAGCTACAGGTACCTGACAGATATAGGACCAAAAGTACATTTTTATTCCCAGTATGGGACAATTCCAAAACTTACATTCTCGTCATCTTCAAAACCCATCAGATACAGAAGGACTCATCCTATTATCATGTTTCCTTTCGCAAGTTAGCCAAGAAAAATAGAAAAAGTCTATTCAAATATTTAAAAGCATAATGCGTGTGAAGAAAGTCTCTGTTGTTCATTTACAACACAGTGAGTTTGTCTCCTGACCACACTAATACGCAGCGAGAACGATTCACAGTGAAGCACGTTCTGGAGACTATTTGGGGGAAATGATCAAACAGTTTTCCAATGTTATAACAGCAGCCAGAACTACATACCTGACTTCTCTGTGCTTTGAAGTTGTGGTTCTGCTTTGTCGTGGACAAGTAACACGTACTTGAAGCATTCCGTACACACTAAAACACCTTCCACACAGGCAAAGCAACCAGCACCAGAATGAAAAAGCCTCGAACGGAATGGGAGCCATTACCTACAAACTCGGAGAAAGGCCGCAATGCGCACAGAACATCCCAGCAACCTCGCCTGCATGGGGGGGGGGGGCGGGGGGGCTCACCCAGCTGCCCCCACTCGCTGACACAACGAAGTCAACACGTTGCACAACGAAGACATTCTTTGTTAAAGATACACACAAAAACACTTTTGTGTGAATAAGGCTATTCCCTTCTTTCAATGCACTGATCACAGTCTCATATGTAAGGCAAAAAGAAAACTTCGTGCTTTTCGGCGCGCAAGTCTGGTTAACCTTTGTCAGTGTCACTAGCTCCCAGGAGGACGTCCCAAGAGCTACGGGGGTGCCGAGGCCATGTCTCCCCCAGGAAGGGGGCGCTGGTGAGGAGCCGCTGCCAGGAGCACCGGGTGAGCTGCAGTCAGAGGAGCCCCAGTTTGACCTGCGATGCAGGGAGGACCGCTAGGGGGCGCTCCAGACGACGTCTGGGCGCGTTCGGAGAAGACCCGGAGAACCCCGCACCGCGGCCCTGCGCGCCCAGCGGCAAGGCCACTACAGGTTGTCTCGGCGCTGCCTGTGCGCCGCCCCCCTTACATGGTCTGTGTTCCTGGCACGCACTTGTCGCCGGAAATGTCTCTGTGCTCGAAGAGCCGCCCCCTGGCCTGGATACCTGTCCTTTCATGCAGAGAGAGCTGAGTCTGCGGCTCTGGCCAGCCACGCCCCGGTTAAGGCAGCCGAACCAGGAGTCACCTGGTTCCTACTGCGACCCCCCTGAACTGCTCATGGCGTTGGAATCACCTGGAGGTTGCGGGGTTCTACGGTTGATGGCTGTGTCCTCAGTCCCAGAAGCTACCCGCTGATGTGGGGTGCCGTCTGGCCTCCCAACGGCCTGAAGAACAGCCGAGGAGGACAGACCTCTCCTCTGGCTGTTTGGGAGGCTGTGGCTCTGGATTTGGTTTGCACGACACACACCCGAGGTCCGTTTCACACCGCCAACACCGGCGCGCATTCCAGACCGGGGGCTCGGGAGGGGCCGGGACATCAGGGGTTTTACTCTGCAAGAACTCCGACCCCCCCAGCTGGGAGTTCCGACGAAGGACCCCTCTCACGTCAGGGTTTCTTGGGCTCACAGGACCGCAGGATCACACGGTGACACCGCAAAGGCCCGCACCTTCAGCAGGAAAAGTCTGAGGACATGGAGGTAAGCGATTTGCCCGATAAAGAATGCAGAGGAGCAGTCATAAGGATCCTCACCAGACTTGGGATAGAGCAGAGGCACTTCGGGAGAACCTCCACAGAGAGTGAGGAAGTGCAATGAGGACCTGAATGTCAACAAAACGAACAGACAACCTGCTGAATGGAAGAAGATGCTCACAAATGATACACCTGGCAAGGAGTTAATATCCAAAATATAGAAGGAACTCATATAACTTCACACGCACAAAAATCTGACTTAAAAATAGGCAGGAGACCAAAATAGACTCTTCTCCAAACAGGACATACAGATGGCCAATAGTCAGATGCTCAACTTCACTAATCATCAGGGAAATGCAAATTAAAACCACAGTGAGACGTCACCTCACACCTGTCAGAATGGCTGTCATCAGTCGAACAAGTGTTGGTGAGGAGGCAGAGAAAGGGAACCCTCGTGCACCGGTGGTGGGAGTATACACTGGTGCGACCACTGTGCAGAACAGTATGGAGGTTCCTCAAAAAATCAAAAATAGAACTACCACGTGACCCAGCAATCCCACTGCTGGCTATTTACCCAAAGAAGTCTAAAACACTAACAGAAAAGATACACACACCCTGTGTTCATTGCAGCGTTTTTTGTTGTTGTTGTTTTTTTACAACAGCCAACTCATGGGAGCAACCTAAGTGCCCATATCGATAACAAATGAATAAGGAAGATGGGATACATACATGCAATGAAATATTACTCAGCCATAAAAAAGAATGAAATGTTAACACTTGTGACAATGTGGATGGACCTAGAGCAGTATTTTCAACCAGAGTGCCACAAGAATGGAAAAAAAGCAAAAAAAAAATGTTTTTTTAAATAAAATCCTGGGCAAGGTAGAATAGATCAACCATTATTCCTGATTACCCTTTCTTTTTAAAAAAAATTTTTTAAAGATTTTATTTATTTATTTTTAGAGAAGGGAAGGGAGGGAGAAAGAGAGAGAGAGAGAGGGAAACATCAATGTGCGGTTGCTGGGGGCCGTGGCCTGCAACCCAGGCATGTGCCCTGGCTGGGAATCGAACCTGCGATGCTTTGGTTCGCAGCACGCGCTCAATCCACTGAGCTACGCCAGCCAGGGCACCCTTTCTTTTTTAATTACTGTTTTTTATTTGTTGATTTCAGAGAGGGGGCGGAGAAACATCAGTTTGTTGTTCCGCTTTTTCATGCTTTCCTCAGTGGACTCCCCAGCATGTGGGGCGAAGCTCTAACCGATGGAGCTGCCCAGCCGGGCCTCCCTTTCCCGTCTTTGTGCCCTCGGCGCAGAGCGAGTTAGCAATGGCCTCACCATAAGGCACTACAGGCGGATGAATTTTACAGCTGGGGCAGAGGAGTTCTGGGGACGTCAAGTTGTCAACACGTCATCCCGATCAGGCAGTATTTAAAGTATCCATTTATTAGCAGGTCCACTTTTAGAGATTGTTGCCAGCCACATCGGGGCAGCGTGCTTGCGGGGGTGGGGATGGGGGTCGCTGGGACGAGATGTCGCGCCTCCCGGGCGGCCATGCTCACACCACAGGTAGCCAAGGCCACCACGGCCACCAGGGGGCAGGCATCTGGACTGCGCTCCTGGAAACCCAGTGGGGGGCGTGGGGCTGGGGAAGGGTGGAGGTAGGCTCCTCTCCGTGGGGATTTTTTCCCCCTGAAATGGGATATCCCATGGGTGTGAAAAAGCATCATTCCTAACAAAGGGACCGAGGGTGTCATCTGTGGGAGCCTCCCGGGCCGCGGGGACAGGGTCTGTGCAGGCTGCGGCACCGCAGGCAGCTGCTGCGTTTCGGCCCACGGCAGCGCACAGGGTGCCCCTCGAAGGGCCTCCTGTTCCAATGATGTATTCAAGCTGACTTTCGGAAACCCACCCAAGTTCCGTCGGTCCTGGGAGTGAGCGCGATTGTGTGTATTTGGGGAAGGGGTGGTCACGTGACCGCCAGTCTCTCCAACCTGGGTACCATTTAAACCGAGACTAGCCCAAAACGAAAATCAATGAACGAAGTGACCACCTTGCCCAGGCCTTGAAAAGGGCGGCGGAATCAGAGGCCGGGAAGAAGAGCCCCGCGCAATCCAGGGAAGAGAAGTGAAGACACCGCGCGCCCCTACTTGGCCACTGGGGGCCGCAGTCACCTTCAACACAGGGAGTGGGGAGACGCGAACCCTGCTGGCGGCGCCGGTCGCCAGCTCCCTCCAGCGCGCAGCCTCCGCTGGCTCTGCCCCCAGCGCTGCAACCGCGATCCGGGACCGCGCGGACGTGGCCTTCCTGGAGCTCTGCTCCGGCGGCGCCCCGCGCGCGCTCTCCAGGCTGCAGCCTCCATCAGGGTAACCTCTTGGGGCGTCCGCCGCGCCCCTCCCGGGGCCCGCCCCTCCATCCCCAGGGCGCGCGCAGTCACTGCCTGTGCGCCCTGCCAGCCTGCGCGCCCGGGCAGGCGACGATGGGGAGGCCGAGCCCGACTCTGTGCCGCCGCTTCCCCGGCCCTCGCTGCTCACTGCCCCCGAGACCGTGACGCGGCGGCACAGGCCGAGACACAACGCCCGAAGCTGAGGCTCTCCGGGCTCCGAGGCCAAGTCCCGGGGTCGCCGCGAGCCCCGGCGCCATGCGAGCCTGGGCTGGTTGGCCCCTGCCCCGGAGGAGCCCGCGCGCCGGCTCTGGCCGCCGTGCGCCCGCTCCTGCCCCGGCCGCAGTCGGGGGGGCGCCGCGCAGGTGAGAGCAGAACCCTGAGTCAGGGGCAGAGCTGCAGCCTCCCCAGCCCCGGGAAGCAGCCCCAGCACGGAGCCGGCTGTCCGGGAGGCGGGGACCAGTGGGCTCCGGAGCCTTCCGGAAGCACGGCATCCGAGGCTGTGTGGACCACAGCCAGAGAGGTTCGGGAGACCCGCATGGACCCTGCTCCGGGAGCCTCGGAGGTAACTTCGGAGAGCCGGGGCGGGCGGGGATGGGAGCGCACGCCAGCGTGAGCCAGCGCGCGGTGTGGGCACCGGTGCCGGCGCGCCGGGTGTGAGTCCACCTAACCCCCAGGGCTCCGGAACGGTGCGGGCCACCGGGCCCTTTCTGCGGCGCTCTGGACAGTGGTGGAGAGGGAGGGGGTGTGTGGTGTAGCGGGCTTGAGCCAACCTGGCGGACAGAGAAGGGATGAAGGAAGAGAAACAGCGGACAAGGGCCATGCGGTTCGGGACAAGTTTTCACGGCTGCAAATTCGCTTCCAGAAGACTGTGCTTCGAGGGTTAAATATACCGTCGGGGTGTGTGCAAGCCCTGGCACATCAGCGCAAAGTGCACGGGACAAACCCCAGACATACCACCAGTGCGTCCGGTTCTCCGGGCGAGACTTCCAGCGGCGTCGATGTGGAATGGGCGTGTGGCTCTCACGGAGGAGGTGGGCCGTTCCACTTCGCCCTCGGGGAAACACAGGGGCGCGGCCTGGCCGCCCGGTGTGCCCCCGCACGCCGTCCGGCTCAGGCACGGGACGCGTCCCTCTCCCCACCCCTCTGTGCGCCGCCGTCCCTGGGGCCGCCAAACCCAGCCACGGCGATCACTTGCCTGTCCTGCTGGAAGACCACAGAGGTGTGAACCCGTGAGTCCAGGGTGGGGACGGTGCCGGTTCGCTCAGGCGCTCTTCGAGACGGGGATCCAGACACATTTAGTGAAGGCTTCAGACCGTTTGGCTTGAGGAGGATGGGCGGTGTCACCAGGCAGTGGGGGCTCCGCCGCCGGGCCCTGCCGTGGTTCTGTGTGTGCCTCGGACAGCTGCCAGGAGGAGTCTGGTGGCAGCAGACGTGGCCGGCGGGCGATGCACCCCTTCCCCCAGCAAACAAGCTGCTGCCGGTGCCCCTCTCCCAGATGGAGACGGTGGGTGGAGGCTCCTCCCTCCTTTCCATGTTTGCGACCCGCCGGCATCCATGGAGCCTGCCCTGCAGGTGGAGAAGCCAGCAGACCGCTGTGGGTACACCACGTCTTTTACAATGAGCTCCGCTCCGCGCCACCAGCTCCTGCAGAGTCTGGGCGGGGGGGGGGTGTATTTCGGGGCCTGCTGGAAGAGGAGAGGGGGGCCACGGAGAGTAGCCTGCATGGAGGGACAGCTGTCCAGCCCCCTTTAATGGGCTTTCTTCTTGTGTATCCGAGGAAGGTGGGGCAGGAGAGGGAGAGGGAGGGGAGTCTGCAGAAAGAGCAAATTCAGAGATTTTCTTAGCTTGCGGGAGGCTGGAGAGAAAACCTCAGACGCCTGATACACAAAGTCGGATGCTTGTCGTGTGTGTGTGTGTGTGTGTGGCCAATTTGTATCGATCTGGGGCCGTGAGATAATAAATGTCAGCCGCCAGGGGAGGAACACATCCGTTTATTTGCATTTCTGATGAGTTTGGTGAGGGAGTGTTCCGAGACACTTTCATACTTGGAAGACAGACAAAGGTTCCTTTGTCGGCGGGAGTCCTTTCTGAACCTTACATATGTAATGCCATTTTCTTCCTGGCTCGGGCTAGAGGTGACATCGATGTGACTTCCAGCCTGGAAAAGCCTTTGTATCTATTAACTCTTTGGTGCCCCGCCGGAAATATCTGTGCTCCCGTGGGGCCGAGACGCCTGCCTCCCTCTGCCCGCGGCACACAGCAGTGCTCGGGGTGGGGGGGGTTTCCTCCCTCAGGATTCGTGCCCCCAACGAGCTCCTTCTCGAATCTTGACGCAGGGGAAGCAGAAACCAGCGAGAGGCTTTGTGTCTGCCGGGCAGGGATGCGACCACCAGGAGAAGGGAGGGGGCAGGCCCTGCTCGCTGCTCCAGCCACGTGGTGACGTGTAGTCTCCAAGTTCCTCGGTGACTGGGCTGCTCGAGCCCCCCCCCCCACCCCCGCCCCCATTACCTACCTCTCCCCGCTGACCTGCGGGTCTCAGTTTGTGGAGCTTCCCTGCAGGCTCCAGCAGCAGTGCGAGGACGGCAAGGAGGGCAGAGGGGTGTGGAGACCAGACACAGGCAGCGGCGGCTGGCGGCCAGCCCCGGGCGTGCTGCTCACTCCTGACGCCTTGGTCTTGGGACGTTGCTAACTTTCCTGCCGGCAAGTGTACCGTCACCTGCACAACGTGGGAGAGAGCACCAGATCAGACCGTTCACCCCCCTCCCCCTCTCTGAACAGCAGAACCTTTTAGAAGAAATCTGCTATGAAAGGGAAGCATCAGAAACCCACTCGAGAGCAGGGGAGGGCTATGCCAGCCTGCTCACTCCCGGTGTGACTCTGAGAGCCCCCCGTGGGGACCCCTAACGGCCCCCCAGGTCCCAGTCGGGGAATCGCTCGCAGGGCTTCTCTGTACAATTTGGCACATTCCCTCTCGGCGTCTGAAGCGAAAACACGGGGGCTGGCGAGAGCAGGCTCACAGCTGTGTGTGTGAACCAGTTTACTCGTGCCTTATCACATTTATTGGCAGTGCTTGTCTTACGGTTGCTGTTATCACTTTGCATCCCCTCCTCGTGATTTATCCGTTAGGTCCTGACGGTTGGTAGTTTTACCTACTTTTGTCCCCCCGCCCCCACGGCGGTCACCTAGTTCCGTGTCACAGTGTGTCACAGACCCGTCCCTCGCATCTGGTCCTTCGGGACGGCTAGCTAAGCCCCTGCCACCTGAGCCCCTGGAGGACCCCAGCCTTTTCAGCCCGAAGACCCCCGAATCTCAAGCAGGGCCTGACGCATCAGCAGGTGCTGAGTGGGTGCCCACTGAGTGGATGCGAGAAAGAGAGGGGAGGACAGCCTGGATCCGAGGCAGTGGGAGTCTTAGGGAGCAGGGACCCCGGTTTCTGCATTGCTCTGTTGCCAGGGCACAGCACACTTGGACACTGAAGTTGTTAATGAGGAACGTGAGTGGGGTGTTTATTCCCTCTGTCCCGAAAGGCTCTGCCGCCCCCTCGGAGCACGGGTAGGATGCCGTTTCCCGCTCAGTGGAAACGAGTGTGCCCAGGTGCTCTTTCTGTCCAGAGAGATGTGCACGCGAGCTCCAGGCGTTAGCAGGTACGTCGCCGTGTCCTCCGTCCCCAGGGGGTGGGGGTGCTGCTCTCCGCGCCGGGGCGGCGGTGACGTGGAGCAGAGCCCCCTGCCGACTCCCGCTGGACCTGCAGCAGGGAGAAGAGAGGCCCTGGGTCTTGGTGTTCCAAGGTCTCCTCCAACCCGGGATGCATCATTTTAGAGCCTCGCAAACCAGGATGAAAACACTGAGAGGGCCTCGCTGGGAAGGAGCGGTCGCGGGTTCTCCGGAAGCCCTGGCTCTGGTTCTCGGGGCTCCGAGTCTCGGTCTTCCGGCCCGCAGGCCCGCGTGCTGATCCGCCAGAGGGCAACAGCGCATGCGCAAGAGGCCGACCCGGGCTGCGGTGAGCATCCAGAGAGACCCCCGCCGGAACTTGGTGCCACCGAAACCCTGACGTGCGAGATGCACGGGCTGAGCTGCATTCATTCCCCCTGCGCTCTGATGCCTGTACCCGTTTATTCACCTGTGGGGCCGGTGTCACAGGCTGTCCCCGCCTCTGACTCACCAGAACCGCCTGGCCTCAGAAGGCTCTCATTGGGCGGGAGCGAGGCTGGGGCAGCGCCCGGAAGGCTGCGCAGGTGAAGCGGGCTCCGGTGACTTGCTCTGGGCTGGAACAGAGCCGCTCGGGGTTTTGCTGCCTTGTCTGCACAAGAAAACCCAAACTTGGTCTCCGCACGTCGCTGCAGCCGGTCCTGGGAGGGCGCACGCCGGTGGGCACAGCGGCCCAGGAGGCAGAGAGAAACGCTGCCCGTGGCAGCCGGAATTCAACCCGAGGGGAAGCCACCGCTTCCGTGGAAAACAGACGGGACCCGTGTGGACATGAGAGTCAACTGTCCGAGACGCCTGTCCTAAGCAGGGTGCAGCCAGGGAAGGGAAAACCCTGTGTGATTGGATGTTTCCTCGTAACTCTCAGAACCTGGGTCCCTGTTCATCGACCAGGAGCTTCCCTTTCTCTCGTGAAATTCTGTTACACGTTGGGTTTGGCATTTTTAATCCAAGATTCGTGAACGCAGCTTTGTCTTCCCACTTCAGAGTAAGAGGAGTGATTGTCTGCTGATTACAAAGTAACTAGTATGCATGGCAGGCATTTCCAGAAGAGATGGGAAATGATAAAGAAAAAAATAAAAGCTACCTGTGAAAAATAAGAATGGTGGTTGAAGGGGAAGAGGCACGAGGGAGCTTTCTGGGGCAGCTGGAGGACCCTAGATCACTATATGGTTTTGGTGACTGCACACTGGTCAAAATTCCAGCACATGCCACTTAAGGTTTCGGCACGTCCCTGTACAGAAACTTTATATTAAGTGGAAAACTGTAAACAGTTACTGCAGCTGGGTCGGTGGTCTCCACGATGAAGTATTTAGGGGAAGTGTACACACGTCTGCAATTTACTGCGAAGCGAGTTCACGCAGAAAGATGGGTTGGCGCCAGAGCGGTGGATGTGCGGTAAAGCGAACGGGAGAGCGTTCGCGGTAGATCCCAGATGGCGGCCGCCTGAGTGCTTACACAAAGTTCGTTCCATTTTGCCGGGTGTGTGAAAATTTGCGTAATACAATATTGAAGGCCAGGCTCCTAACTCAGGAAAAAAAGTCCATATTTACAATCCAAATGTAACCAGCGTTAACATTTTGGCAGACATGGTTTCCTTTCCGTTTCAAGGAATATATAATGAAGATCGTCCTACGTATACAGATTTATTTTCGTATTTTTTCTCACGCCATAGTGTGTAGCGTAGCCTAGCATTCCCCTAAAGAGTCTTCCCTGTGTAACTTTTGAATTGAGGTCTCGTTTACACACACAGTACAATTCACACAATGGGTGTGCAGCACCGTGAGTTTTGACAAGTGTGTGCGGTCACGGAACCACCCCAGCATCACAGTTCCATCATCCCGGGAAGTCTGTCTGCGCTCCTCTGCAGCCAGCCCCGGCCACGGGACGGGCCTTTCCCACACTGTCACTGCCGTGGAATCACACAGCGTGTGGCCCTGTGGCCCAGGCCTCTTTTGTGCCAGCACAGCCCACGGGAGATCCACGTCGCTGCCTGTTCTAGTGGTTCATTCCTTCTTATGGGCGAATGGCATCCCGACAAGGACATCCATCCGTGGAATTTTAATGTTCATAAGAAGTCACGTGTATCACCGTGGGGTTCGTCTACGCATTCCCTTATTTGTGGGATATTTAGGCTGTTTTATTTCTTCCTCTATTGTAAATACCATCGCAGTGAACATCTTTATGCATAAATCATTGTCACTGATCACATCTGTAAGGTGGATTCCTGGGAAGGGGGTTACAAGGTCACGTGTTACAAATACTTTTAAAGTTTTTAATACATTTTTAGCCATTAAAAAGTTTGTCCTTGTATTTCTTTATGTGGTACACAGCAAGCCTGACTTAAAACCCCACCAGTGTTTCTTCTCCTTTCTTTAAGATTTTATTTATTTATTTTTAGAGAGGGGGAGGGAGAGAGAAAGAGGGAGAGTGAAAGATCAAGGTGTGGTTGCCTCTAGCGCACCCCCTACTGGAGACATGGCCTGCAACCCAGACCTGTGCCCTGGCTGGGAATCGAACCAGCGACGCCTTGGTTCACAGACCCATGCTCCGTCCACTGAGCCACACCAGCCAGGATGTCCCACCTGTGTTTCTAATCCTCTCCCCCTCCCTCTTTTCCGATGCTCTCACCGTAGAACTGACTCGGAGTCGGCGAGCCTGTGCGAATTCTGAGTCATGGAGGCCAGCCAGGAAACCTCCGTCTTCCTGGTGAAGATCTTGGAGGAGCTGGACAGCAAGCAAAACTCCGTGTCCTACCAGGACCTGTGCAAGTCCCTGTGCGCCCGCTTCGACCTGCCGCAGCTCGCCAAGCTGAGGAGCGTGCTCTTCTACACGGCGTGCCTCGACCCCAACTTCCCAGCCACGCTGTTCAAAGACAAGATGAAATGCACCGTGAACAACCAGCAGTCCAAGAAAATCATGGTGGCCGCAGACATCGTCACGATCTTCAACCTCATCCAGATGAACGGGGGTGCCGCCAAGGAGAAGCTGCCCACGGGCCGGCAGAAGCCGCGCAAGAAGGAGGCGTCCTTCGAGTCCTGCAGGCCGGACGCGGAGGTCTGCCCCGCGGCCGAGTGCGGGCCCCTGAACTGCGAGCTGGACGGCAGACCTTTCGGCCAGGGCTACCCCGCCCGGCAGCCGTCCAAGTGCCGGGAGACGGGCTGCAAGGACTGCCCGCAGTTCGTGCCGGCCTCCGAGCCCAACTTCCTGCTGGGGGTCAGCAAGGAGGCCAAAGCCCGCGCGGCCTCGCTGGACCGGCTGCAGGCCCTGGCCCCGTACGCGGTCGCCAGCCCTCAGCCCTGCGAGATGCAGAGGACCTACTTCCCCATGAACATCGACAACGAGCCCGTCTCGGACCAGGACTCGCTGCCCATCGCCCAGGGCATCAAGGAGACCTTCCTCGCCCACGACGAGCCCTTCGTGGTCCCCTCCTGCGTCCAGAAGAGGAACATCTTCAAAGAGGATTTTCACAACCTGATGCCCGTGTCCCCCAGTTTGGTTGGCCCCGCGAACAAGGCAAAGGGGGAGCACGGGGAGCCCCCGAGCCGGAAGGAGCCCCACAAGACACCCTTCTTGAACCACAGCTTTGAGATGCCCTACAACAGCCAGTACCTGAATCCCATGTACTCGCCTGTCCCTGACAAAAGGCGGGTGAAGCACGAAAGCCTAGATGACCTTCAAGCCTCCACGTATTTTGGACCCACCCCCGTGATGGGGACCCCGGAAGCCAGGCGCTGCCTGGGGAGGCCCGGCAAGCAGACCCCCTGGCCAGCCAAAAGCTGGAGCCTGAACACGGAAGAGGTCCCTGACTTCGAACGGTCCTTTTTCCATCGGAACCCTTCCGAGGAGAAGCTGCGCTATCCAAACCCCGGCGGCCAGTCGCCCAGCTTCCCGGCGCCGGACCAGCGGCCGGCTTACCTCTCACCAGAGGAGCAGCAGCCGATGCTCCCCGTTGGCTACGCGGCGAAATCCAGCGGGCTCAAATCTAAGGAGATCCCGTCCGCCCTTGACCTGGAGAAGCATGAACCGGCGAAAAAGTTCAAGGACAAGAGTATCAGCTGCACCAGTGGGCAGCTCAGCTCGGACACCAGCAGCGTGGGCACCCAGACCGAGCAGCACCTGCCGGAGCCCAAGAAATGCAAAGACCTAGGTGCCTCGGGGCACGGCAGGTACGGGGACAGGCACGCCAGGAAGCAGTCGGACGACGACTCCGAGATCGTCAGCGACGACATCAGTGACATTTTCCGATTCCTCGATGACATGAGCATCAGTGGCTCCACGGGAGTGATACAGTCATCCTGCTACAACAGCACAGGGTCCTTGTCCCAGCTTCACAAGTCGGACTGTGACAGTTCGCCGGAGCGCAACATCCCCAAAGTAGCCAATGGGCTCCCCGGCAGCAAAGGAGAAAAGGGCAACCGGCTCGACAATGGCCACCACTCAGAAGAGGAGTTGAAGACCAGTGTCTGCAAACTGGTGCTCCGGATCGGCGAAATCGAACGGAAGCTGGAATCGCTGTCGGGTGTCCGCGAGGAAATCTCCCACGTCTTGGGCAAGCTGAACAAGTTGGATCAGAAAATGCAGCAGCCGGAGAAGGTGAGCGTGCAGATTGACCTGAACTCCCTGACCAGCGAGGCGCCCTCCGAAGACAGCGCCTCCCCCCGGATGTTCCGTGTGCACGGTGGCTCCCACGGGCCCAAACTGGAGAGCAGCGCCGCCGACTGGTGCTGCTCCGACGCCAGCGGAAGCAACAGCGAGAGCCTGCGGGTCAAAGCTCTGAAGAAGAGCCTCTTCACCAGGCCGTCCTCCCGGTCGCTGACGGAGGAGAACAGCGCCACCGAGTCCAAAATCGCCAGCATCTCCAACTCGCCCAGGGACTGGCGCACCATCACCTACGCCAGCCGCGCGGGCCTCGGCGAGGAGGAGGTCCCGGACAGAGGCCCTGGGGAGAGCAAGGACTGGCATCGCAAATCGAAGGAGGTAATTTCAATGTAAGCTCACGTCACCGGGCGCGGCCGGAGGCGTTTCCCAGTCTCGGGCGCCCCCCGCCGGGTGGGCGCGGCACAGGCAGGCGGTCCGCGGGTCAGCCAGAGGGGCCTGGGCTGTGGGCTGCTGCCGGGTGGCAGACCAGGTCTCCCCAGAACAGGGGAAGTGGCAGAGAGGCCCGAGTCACCGGGGCAGCCTCCGGTCCTTTCCGAAACGGCAGGGTTCGGGCGCGGATCACGAGGGAGGGGGCGTCCCAGGTCGGCGCAGGCGTGGTGCTCCTTTGCGGAGGCGTCAGCTCCTGCATTCTGTGAACAGCAGAGCACCGGTTAGAAAGCGAGATCGAGAGGAAACCGTCCAGGGTTCCACCCCGCAGGGACGGCGCCGCCCACGGCGCTGTCCTCCTTCCTGTGTAGCTGCTCCCCGCCCACGGTCGGCTCTGCCCTGTTCCCGAGTGCAGAGTGTTCTGCACCTGTGTAGACGCGGTGGCCCGTCAGTTCCCGAGGGAGGGTGCACACGGGTGCACACACACGTATGGACACACACACACTCACACGGGTATCTACTCACACACATGGGCTCACTTGTGGCCGCTCCTCTGCATTCTGCCTGGGTTCCGTGGATCCTCTCATTCCTGCTCCCCCCTCCACCCCCCCACCCCCCCGGTTTCAAAGGCCCATGGACACACGAGGAGCCTCCTGAGGGCAGAGGGGACCCCGGCAGTCAGGGGACAAGGCCCTGTGGGCTGCAGACACGCACAACCACAGGAGGAGGCCAGATGCAAGGGTGCCAGCCAGGAGGGGCTTGGGAAACCGGGCTCCTAGGGTGTTTTCAGGGTCCAGAGTGGGAGGAAAGAGAGAATCTAAAGAGTGATCCTTTTTTCTGATCCCGAAGAAACCTCTGCTGTCCGTGCTGGCCACGGCACAGGGTGCGGTGTGGAGAGAGAGCAGAGTGTGCCCCAGCCGCTGCCCCTCTGGTCCCTGGCCTTGTCCCGAGCTGCTGGCGTTGGGCCAGGTTTCGGGTGCCCTGCAGGGTTGTTAGCGCTGAGAAGTGGCCACTCAGGGCACTCGGACGGCTGAGCTCGTCCACAGAGACGCCGGGCCACACTGAGCGAGCCGTGCCTGCGCCCCGTCCCGCGCCCCAGCCTCCTGAAACCGACAGAAATAGCCCAAAGTTCAAGAAAGGTCCGTTGAAGCGCCTACCCCAAAACTGCTGTTTTCCGGCCTGAGTCATCTTTCCTTTGTCACCTTCGGTGACCCATTTCTCCCTCCCAGTAGGCAGCTCTTGCCACCTGGGCTGACACTCCCCAGGGTGGTGACCAGCCCCCCGCCCCCACGCCCGTCCGCCACCTGAGCTTCAGTCCCACATCCCATAGTGCTCAGGGCCTCCCCCCGCCCCCCGTGACTACCCACGTGTCACCAGGTCCCACCCGGGCCCTGCTGCTCCTTCCAAGCCGGCGCTCCCTGCCCTGCCCCCGTTCCGGGGCCGCCACCACACTGCCAGCTCCCCACCACACTGCCAGCTCCCCACTCCCAAGGAGGCTGAGGGCTGTGACCTCCCTCACTGTCTCACTCTCCCCCCCACCCCCGCTCAGCTGTGGGCCTGGTGGGTCTGTCTTCCCGGTGCTTTCTGCCTCCCTGCCTCCTCTGCATCTGCGTTCGTCCGCCTTACCACCCCAGCCCTCACCACCCCCACTGGGACCCGGGGCACATGGGTACCTGGTCCCTCCCCTCCCCTCCCCTCCCTTCCCTTCCCTTCTCTTCCCTCCCCTCCCGCCTCACAGACCACCACTACATGCGTGTTCCCCAAGCCCCACTGTGGAGTGGGGGGTGCGACGCCCCAGGTTCCGACCGCTCCCTGGCTCCTCGTCACCTCAGTGACAAGTGTCAGACTCCGGGAGCCCAGGGAACGTGCACCCGCCCCCCCAGGAAGCCCCTGGGTCCCCAGCGGGGGGGCTCTGCCCTGCCCCCCTCGGAAACACGCCCCTCCCTCAGGCAGAACCGGCGGAGCACCTCCGGCGGCCAGGCCCCGATTCCCCACCCGGCCTTTCTCCCCCAGGGCCCGACCGTCAAGAACGTCTTGTCCCTGTCTCCGTGGTGACTGGGGTCCGTGCACCCCGCTAGGCTCCCTCATGCTGCAGCCCCTGAAACCTTTGAGGGGGCGACTGCCGGTCTCCGACCCCTCACCCTCCGCCCTCTTTGTCCCGATGTGGCGCCTGTAAACTTCCACTGAAAGACCCGTCACGCACACGCCCCGGCTGCCCAGTTGCACGTGGGCGTCTCCCCACAGGGGCAGCAAGGCAGGCGTGCCTGGCCGGCAGCCGTCCGGCCTCAGACGCCAGGCAGCCGGAAACCCTGCCCATCCCGCCTGCCCTCCGTGGGTCCCTGGCTCGCCCTGGCCCCCTCGCTGGCCTGCGTGGCGCCGCCAGAGAAAAGGGGTGTCACTGAGAGGGTGAGCCGAGATGATGTGCTCTCGGCCCTGAGCACGGCAGGGCACACACAGTCCGCCCTCCGTGGGCAGCACCCGCCCCGCCCCCAGTTCCGTGCGGCCCGGCAGCCGCGGTGGCTCTGAGTGTTGGGCGGTGGTAACGGGCAGAACTAATAGCATCAGTGAAGCCTCCTGGAGGATCCTTGGCTTTGAGCAGTGAGGACACGAGAGGCCACGTCGTCTTCCTGCTTGGGTTTGTTTGGCAGCGGTTGCCGGGCCCACGCTGCCTCCTCGGGCCCGCCCCGGGGCTTTGGAAGTGCTCGCTGGCACCCGTGTTTGGAGCGGGGTCCCCGTGCACCAGTGGGAGGGCCCGTGCCGGTCCCCACCCCGGGGCGGGAGGCACACACTCACACACGTCGGGTCGGGGGAGCGGGTTTGCTGGAGTGGAGGATGGAGGGGCAGATGGGACGACACCCTGCCCTCGAGGAGCTCACAGGCCGGCGGAGGATGCAGACAGGCTGGTGGGTGGTCACGGCTCACCCCTGCCACAGGACAGTGGTGGCCACTGGGTCTGCCCCCGTCTTAGGGAGTGGCACAGGTGGGCCCTGACCCAGCCTTTGTGGTCAAGGAGTGCTTCCTGGAGGAAGCGACACTCTGTAGAGATCTGAAGGCCTGGCATTAGGATTAGAAGGTGTCAGGAGCCCCCAGCTGTGAGAGTATCCGGCCCCCGCAGCTCACACAGACTGAGAACCCGAGTGGTGGCCCACGGTGGCAGCCCCCTTTCTACGGCCACACTGTCCTGTCGAGCATTCCCCAACCTTGAAGGCCCTGCAGGGGTCGCTGAAAGTCACTAGCGGCTCTCAGCCCACTCTCTGGCCTGGCTGCTTCCTTCCAGAGAAGCCAAGTGGGCTCAGCAGCTCCCGGAGACAAAGGCCTATGTCTGTCCCGCCTCGGCACTCGGTCCCAGGCCCCCGCTGGTAAAAGAAAGGGGGTAGTAACGGTCAAGCACAGGGTCTCGGAAGCCAGATGCCGAGGTTGAAACTGCAGCCCCACCCCTTGGCCGAGGGGACCCCGGGCCCCTTCTCCTCCCCCTGCGTATGAGGCGGCCGGTAAGAGCCGTGGCAGGCGAGGATCCAATCGGGTCTTGTGTTCCCGGCACAGAAAAGGGGGCTTAGAGTAGGGCTGTGCATGCTCGCTGGTGGATAATCGCATTCTGTCCCCGGGATGCCGTGGGGCCTAGAGGTGTGGCGCGGGCGGCGGCGCGTGCCAGCCGACAGCCTCTGTGCCCCTCCGCAGGGCGAGCGGCAGTACGACGCGCCCCCCCAGCACCGCCTGCCCAAGCAGCCCAAGGACGGCTTCCTGGTGGAGCAGGTGTTCAGCCCGCACCCCTACCCCGCCTCCCTCAAGGCCCACCTGAAGAGCAGCCCCCTCTACACGGACATGCGGCTGACCGAGCTGGCCGAGGTGAAGCGGGGTCAGCCCGCCTGGACCCTGGAGGAGTACCCCCGGAACGCGGGCGACAAGGGCAAGCTGGCTGCCCTGGACCTGCAGGTGAGCTTCTGGACATTCCCGGGGTGGGGGGGGTGACGGGGGACGGGACTCGGCCACGCACAGTAGATGCGGGAGGGGCCCTCCCACTGAGCTCCCGGTCCCGCCCTGGAAGTCTGAACTTCCTTGGAGCTGAGAGTTTCACCAGGCGGCTGCCGTCTCCTCATCTGTCTGTGAACACGCGGCCACGGGAAGCCTCACAGAGCGGCTGGCTTGGGCCGCATTTGCTAACGATACGTTTCTAAGACTCTGTACCCAGCGCAGGTTCTCACACCTGCTCGCAAGCCCCGGGCCAGACTGTTCTGTGCGACGCACTTGGTGAGTGGACGGTGGGCGCCCAGCTGTGGGCCTCTGGGAGCCCCAGACACATCCTCGGGGGCCGGTCTCCTGGGGCGCAGAGCATGGTGGGGACGAGCGCAGTGGGACGAAGAGTGGCCAGCGTGGGTTAGAATCATCGTCATCCCACTGGTGACATCACGGGATGGAGTTGAAACCTGTGGGCGGTTTCCTTCCTGTGTGTGAGAGGGGCGGAGACAGGCAGGTCGTGAACATGCTGGTGTTTGGGGGCGGTGACCAATCCAGGAGCACAGATACCTGTGAGCATTTCCAGGACTGAGGTGCCCGTGCTTGGAGCCGCCAGGCGCTGGTGCTTTGCTGGGACGCGTTATTCAACGCTCGCCGCAAACGAGACGCTGCCTTTCTTTGTGGGAACAGAGGAGCGCCGTCCACGGGGAACGGGATTCCCAGGCCAGGCAGGTGCCACACGGTGTTTCTCCTGCAGACGGCCCTCCCTCTGGGGACCTGGTGCCTGGCGTGCAGACGCCCTGCCACACCCATCTGTGGACCATGGCTTTGGGCCATGGCCTGAGCCACCCAGCAGGTGTTTGAAATGGGAATATTTTATGCTAGGTTTGAATTGCTTATCTGTGAGGTGCATTTGTTTTTTTTAAACATATAGAACTTTTTAAAAAGATTTTATTCATTTATTTTTAGAGAAGGAAGGGAGGGAGAAAGAGAGAGAGAGAAAAACATCAATGTGCGGTTGCTGGGGGTCATGGCCTGCAACCCAGGCATGTACCCTGACTGGGAATCGAACCTGCGATGCTTTGGTTCGCAGCCTGCGCTCAATCCACTGAGCTACGCCAGCCAGGAGATGCATTTGTTTTTTTATTCCATGCTTTTCTGGGGACCTGGGGGCGGACAGGGGCAACGTGGTATTCCTGTGCGAGCCCCATTCTCGGGGACTGTGGGTGGAGGGTATTTTTCAGTGATCTCCTGCTTCCCCTGCGGTGGGCCAGCCCATCCTGGTTGTGCGCCCTTGAACTTCAGGCTTGTGTTTCTTGGCCATTCTGCTTGCTCACACACAGAAGACCCACAGGTCTGCTGGGTCCGAACAGGACGTTTGTCTTCAGGGAGGGGCAGGTGGGACCTGGGCTGCGTGGGACCCACCTCAGGCAGGGGCTGTGGGCGGCACTGGACGCATAGCCATCCCTGTCAGCTACAGAGCACCCTCGGGTGCTTCAGGAGGGACGGCTGTCAGGGTGCCCTTGACCCAGGTCCAAGTACTCACCGCCTTGCTAACATCTCCTCTTCTCTTTCAGACGCAAGAATCTTTAAACCCAAACAACCTAGAGTATTGGATGGAAGATATTTATACTCCGGGCTATGACTCGTTACTCAAACGCAAGGAAGCCGAGTTCCGCAGAGCCAGGGTCTGCAAGATCGCGGCGCTGATCGCCGCCGCCGCCTGCACGGTCATCCTGGTCATTGTTGTGCCCATCTGCACTATGAAATCGTGAGCCCAGTGGGGGGGCGCCGCATTGCACACGGCTCGGGGCCGCTGAAGTCCCCCTCCACCGTTTAACATCGTGTGGCAGTGCGGCGGCAGTCTGCTCAAGCGGAGATGAAATCCTGGAGGCTTCGCGTGTGGGTGACGGCCTCCACAAAGCATGCATTCCTGAGAGGGAGCTGCCTGCCTGGAAGCTGTGACTGAATGACACTCGGATGCATTTTTTAAAATTTTTAAAAAGATTTTATTTATTTTTGGAGAGAGGGGAAGGGAGGGAGAAAGAGAGGGAGAGAAACATCCATGTGTGGTTGCCTCTCATGCGCCCCCTACTGGGGACCTGGCCCACAACCCAGGCCTCTGCCTTGACCGGGAATCGAACTGCTGACCCTTTGGTTCGCAGGCTGGCACACAATCCACTGAGCCATGTGAGCCAGGGCGTGGAGGCATTTTTAGACGTGCAATAGCTTTTCTACCAAAAGAATGTAATGAACTAGCAGGGATGCAAATTGAATTACAAGCAAAAAAAGAAAAGGAAGGGAAAGCAGGCACTTTAGTTGGGTTTCTTCCATTTTGACGAAGTTCCCTGGCCGGGAATGCGTTACAAAGAAGGTGTTGCATACACGCCTTTGGGAGGGAAACCGAGGGAGAGAGCGAGATGAGGGCAGAAAGGGAGAAGTCCCATTTCCCTAACGTTCTCAGCGCGCGGCGGCGGGCGAAGTGCCGGGTGTGCGCCCACCAAGGAAGCTGGTTCTTTGCTGACTGCCACCAAGGGCTCCTGACTTCTCATCCTCGCCCTCCCGCCGTCACGACGCACGGCCCTTCCGCCGTCATGACGCACCGCCCTTCCGCCGTCACAACGCACGGCCCTTCTGCCGTCATGACGCACGGCACCGCAGACCTTCACGGAGCCTTCCCGCACCTCTTCCCCGTGCCCACGGGAAGAAGGAAGGAGCCGAACCCCCCCCACTCGGGGCGTGCAGTGCGCTCCTCTCTGCCCGACTGGCCGCGGAGTTCCGGCCAGGAGCACGTCTTGTCCCTGCCCTCGCGGTGGGGTGGGGGCCGCTCGCGGACAGCAGGGGGCTCCGCAGAGCACAGCGCAGCCGCCGCAGCGCAGGGCCCCTCCTGTTCGCTTCGGCGGGGGTGTGGCTCCCCTCCTGGATCTTCTGTCTCCCGGCGGACCCAGAGGCTCTGCCTCTCGCTCCCGAGCTGCAGAGTCCGGAACTCGTCCTTGTGCCTTGAAGAGGAGACAGAACGGCGGCCCTTGACCTTCCACCTGGAACCCCCGGTTTCCGCACAAGCGCCGAGGGCGGCCATCTCCGCGGCTTCACGGAGACGGGCAAGCTCGTCAACGGTGTGACGGGCGCTGTTCTCCACCGCCCCGGCACCTCCTCCGGTTCCGAACTCTTGTGGGCAGTGCAAAACCCAGGACCTATATACCTGTTTATCTATCTACCCGTCCGTCCGTCTAAATACCTACGTTCGGCGTGCTGTCTTCTGTGTTAGCTGCCGTGAGAGCACGGAGTCTTCAGTGTATGGGGGGCCACTGTCACTGCGTGGGAATCCAGCCTCTGCTCCCAGTGCTGACCGGTGCTTCGACGTGACTGGACAGACGGAACCCTTTTCAGTATCTGAGTTGAACGTCGGGTTCCAGGTGAAAGGAAATGACTGACGGAAACCGGCTGCCTAACTCTCCCGAGAACCAGGCACGGTGGAAATACGTGCTGGTAGTGAGACTGCGCACTCCGGACGATATGAGACATTCCTGAACGGGAGCTTTGGAAAGCATCTCAGATGTTAAAGCAATAGGAGCCCAGCGTCCGTCCCCCAATGCCCCCAGTAATGCTTAGCTTGCTGTGTCTAAGTCTGTTGTGCCCCATCAGAGGTAGTCAGGGCACCTCCTGCCCCTAACCAATAAGGGGACGGATGCTTTCACCTGTCGGGAACCTTTATTTTCAGAGGTCTTCATATTATCTGTTTCAGTCTCATGTTCGTTTGCAGATGTTCAACCTGGCAACTGAAACGTAAGCCTTAGCACAGAAAACTGAGGAGTTATCATTGAGGATGACATGTACATACATATATATATATTACTGTCTATGGTCACAATTTTAGTCTTTTGGTGCTTGGTTTTGGGTTGGGCACATTGAATAAGGTAGTTTGATCCGCCCCGAAGGGGGTTTCTGGTGACCACCCTCGGGGGCTGGTCCTCCCAGCCGGCGTGGCTCTGGGACACGTCCCCCTCCCGCCGTCTCCCTGCGGCCCCCAGAGCATCGAAGGCAGGCAGGTCCCAGCATCTTGCTCTGTGACTCACAGGGAAGTGGAGGAGCGCTCACCCAGGACAAGAACAGTCTCGTCAGATGCCACTCAGGCCCCTCCTTTGCCAGGTAGGGTCCTGGGGGACGGACCAAACCACGGTCGCCACTGCCCTCGGGTGACTCTGCTCCTAAGGGGCCCCGTCCAGCGACCGAGGGGCGGGGCCTGACTGTGAGCCCACCCGACGCCGCAGGGAAGTGAAGGGACCTGCGGCATTTCCTTCTGCCCTTTGCACGCAGGGGGTGGCACTCAGAGAAATTTAGCTTTGCTCCGAGTCCCGCGCAGCTTTTAAGGGGACTCAACGCCATGGGCACAGACGGAAACGTCCAGAGAGGGAGGGGCCCAGCGGTGGCCTCCAGGTGGTCTCCTCCGGGAAGGGGTCTGCTCAGCCCGATAGCGCTGGTTCTGGTGTCACATCTGGGCCTTCGCTGCCGCTGGAAGCTCGTGGGTGCTTGCGGTCCTGGGACCCAGGGAAGGTGGCGTTTGCAGTTGGGTTCTACGGCTCCGTGGATGCCCGAGCTCCCTACAGCCTCCTCTCCTCGGGGCCCAGGCCCACTCCGGCCCCTGTTTGCAGAACGGGTCCAGACCAGACTCTGACTGGGAAGACAGGGGACAGCTGCCCCTCCCTCTCAGACCCGCCTCTCATGTCTGGCTCCGGGAGCGCCCTGTGGTGACCCAGGAACCAGCCTGTCCCCTGCCCTGGTGGTTGGGGTGGGGGGCAACTTCTACCACACGCACAGGCATTTTCACGTAAAGCGTCATTTTTTGTGTGTGCCTGAGCCTAAAACCAGGACACTCTCCAGATTCACCTCATTCCCCTTGCATTTTGAAAAGCGAGCCATCAGATGTCATCATCTAAGAGATGACTTTGAAATCCGATGCCCTCAGCCAATGACACAATTCAGACTCACTGCACCCTCTCTTCCAGTCTTAATTTGCTGTGAGCCCAGCCTGGCAGAAAAGCAAAAAAAAAAAAAGTTCCCAGCTCACACAGTTCTCAGATATTTGACACCAGTACCCACCCTCTTCTCTCAACTGGAAACACAGTCAAGCAAATCACACGTATCGCCTGTTACTGGCCGATCATCACCAACTAGTGTTTTAGGGCACACGGCTCCGAGACTGGTAACCGGGAGGCTCGCTTCCCGGATGTGCTGACTCACACTCACTGTCCTAGACGTGCTGGACGTCCCGGGACCGGTACTGGAATCGAGGTCTCGCTGCTTTGTTTACAGTTCATCAGCCTAAGAGCAATGGCCCCTCGGTTTAGTAACAATAACAACAACAAAAGCTCTGCCAACACTGAGTGGTTCTGAGTGGCCTAAACACTTGTGAATGGTGACCATTCAACAGCAGGGGTCTCGTGACAACCGGCCTGTAAGAAGACCGAGGTCCACCATGCGAACACCAAACCAGTATATACTGTGTATTGTACTACGGACACCTTGTCTTTAAAGGCCAAGAGATGAGTGATTGTTGGTACAGTTGGAGAGAGGGTACATTTATCCATGATGAGCAGTGCCATCCCCTTCCTTATTTATGCCTTATGGACAGGAGGGCGTGAAGTGTGAGGGGGTGTTGACGTGTGGGACCCCGAAGGAGCGGCACCCGGGAGGGCGGGGAGGGACCTGTCTTAGAATTCTGGGTCCGTCCGGTACGACTCAGCACACTCCTGGTGCTCGACCGACGTCATATCCACACCAGTAACTAAGCACACTTTTAGACCCTTTTTCAAACGGCTTGTGTAAAACTTGGTTCATGTTCAATGGTTGGTTTGAAGCTATCCTGTAAAAATCTGCCTCTCCAAGTAATCGGAAATAAATGGAAAAATCAGATCTTGTGGGGACATTGTGTTCTACGGGTGCGGTGGTAAGCGTTCAGCCGTGTGCACGGAGCACAGGGTGCCGCCCAGTGACTTTCCCTGCACGGGGAGCACGCCAGGCCATCGGTGTCCACGGGAAAAGTGTCCATCAGTGTCCACAGTGTCCATTAGTATACGGGACGTCCAAACACCCAGGACTCCCCACCCTGAGCAGCGTGCCTGGGGGTCCCAGGTGCCCAACCGCCGGTGGAGCCAGTCTGCGGGGGTGCGGGGGTCTCTCACGGCCTATTGAACGGCCAATGCACAACCTATTGAATGCGCATTTTCCCGATGACTGATGGGACTGGCTCCCTTTCTGCACGTTGATCAGCGATTTGTGCGTCCTCCTTCGTGACTCACAGGTTCGTATTCTTTTTGCCAGTGTTCTATCTCTGAGGCTGCTTGTCTGTTTCTTATTGATCCGAGGCTATCCCCTACAGCTGCTGGAAATGAGTTATTTGTAGATCTCCATTACCAATACGATTTTCTGTTCCCTGGGGACCCGTCTTTCACTCTCTTCATGCTGTCTTTCTGATCAAGGAACGTTCTTTATTTTAATCTAGAAAGGCACCATTTTCTTCCAGTACGATGGGCAGTTTGCATCCTGGTTAAGAAATCTTCATGGGCTCCAAGGTCAGGAAGACACTCTGTTTTCTTCTAGAAGCTCTGTTGTTGCACTTTGCTCAGTGAGATCTGTACCCCTTCAGGCATGGACAGTTTTCTCTGGGGCGAGGTAGGGGCTTAAGGTGCGTGTCTTCCTCAGGTCGGCACCATTTATTAGAAAGATCATCCTCCCCCTTTATGTCTGTGGAATATATATATATATATATATATAT